AGTTCTGCTGCTTAATTATGTTTCTGTTATTCCACTGTTACCTGAAAACATCTATGTTTGTTAAAACAGATAATGCGTTATCAGTCTTTAGACGGAACACAGATGGGCTTTCTAAGTTATACCCTGCCCACTGAATAGCCTCAGAAATTGAACAGGAGTATCTGTGGCATTAAATGCATTTTTATTTGGACTAGACAAAATATATTTTTATGTTTCATGAGCAATTTCTGTGGGTTGCTATTTCAGAGCTTAGGTTTCATTCTGGCACTTTCTAAAACAAGGGATATTTTAAAGAAAAACTCCTTGAAAGAATACCAGTTGAAATACCGTACTCACATTTTTCAGTGATGCATTCCTTGTACTAGGAACTGTTGCTTTAATAACCTTCTAAGCTGTGTTTCAATAGAGCTTGTGAAACAAAAATGTTTGAAATCAAAGATTTTTTGCTGTTCAAAGATTGTAAGTACAGGCTACTCCTTGATTTCCTCACGTCCAGACTTTTCAATATCTAGACAGTTTTATATCTTTTGTCACAATGACAAAAAGTTAATGAGCTAATGAATTTCAATCCTGCTACATCTCACATAATGACATTGTTTTTCGGTGGCAGACCAATACATCCATTCCAATCTGTTACTGCTTTCCTTTATCTGTCATATTAATGCTGTTGCTCAATAAAATGCCAAGGGCTTAATTTTCTTCCAACAGTGCCAAGCTGCTCGTTTACACCAGCTGATTTTGCAGAAGACCTCTAGTATGTCCTAAGTTACTTAATCAGAGTGGGTATTATGTATTTAACAGGCAGATCAGCTTCTGTTGCCTCCTGGATGGTCAATAACGTAGCAGCAGGAGGCTGCCTGGCTCAGCGAGCCTGGAAGTCTCTCACTGACGGCTTGAAAGATCAGAAAACTTCCTCTTGTAGCAGCGTTATAGAAAGAACATATATATGTATGTGGGGGTATCTATCTATAGAGTCTCTGCATTTTGATTGCCAGTATGCAGCTGTTGCTATTGCTTTGAAACTAGTGTATCATGTACTGAAGACAAAACAGAAGGGAAAATAAGATGGATGGCAAGTGTTGCTGCGCCGTCTTGTGCTTTGTCTTTTGGATGGAGACCAATTACACTTCAGATGTTTATTCACAACAACAACAAAAAAAAGACTGGGATTGTTTTAGATCTGTCCCTGTTCTTTGCCTA